CCCGCGTATGGCTTTTGGAAGCTTCATGGGCAGGGACATTGACAACCTCACACCTGTAAAACATAGAAAACAACCCACAACCCACAAACTTTTTCTTAACAAGTGGTAATAGATACATCAGCCCATCATACCAATCTGGATGAACACAGAGCTGAGTAGTGACAGATATGCGAGTGCTATTATTCACAAATTTTATTGTGCTCGGGAGTCCTTCAAGGGAAATCGCCCTCCTGTCGCGCCACTGTGCCAACGTCCACGGAGGATTCGATGTTATGCACCTCGAGCACGTCTGAGTCGCTAGCCAGCTCGATGGCAGTTGAGTCGCTAACCAACTCGATGGCTTCATGAAGTACCATTTCCTGATCAACACTGACTCTCGATCACCTTATTCTTCACCGCAACGGGTGGACGGAGAATCATGATCTTTCCACTCTGGATCCATCGGGACGCCGACCGACACCTCACCACTAAAAAGTCGAGCTTCCACTACGGGTTCTTCGCCTTCCTCATTGCCAAGAAGCCGAGCTTCCAGCACGGGTTCTTCTTCGCCTTCTTCATCGCCAAGAAGTCGAGCTTCCACAAACGTCCACGCACGTCCTTCCTCCCCACGTTCTTTGCCTTGCAGAAACGTCCACGCGAGATACGGTTAACGGAGGCCCAAATATTCGTCGTTTTCGTTGGCAATTGCGGTGCGAATTTAATCAAAAATTTTAAAAACAAACGATATGAGACCATAGTGCAAACATCAAAAAAGGAAACAGGCAAAAAAAAATAGAAAAAAAAAAAAAACACTATGAAACCCTATCACAAAGACACTGTCCGAGTCAAAATGAAGCGTCCAACGAATTCAACAAAATGCCAACTTTTTCATTATTGATCCAAACATGTCAAAACTGCACACATGACGTACCCTAAAGCACATATATATCACACAAAAAGAAAAAAAAGAAAAAAAAAGGCAAAAAATCAGCACAATATGACAGTTTCAGTGCAATTCGGTGTGAAATTCGTCAAAAATAACACCCCTGGTTAACCACGTGTGGTCCACGCACGTCCTTCCTCCCCACTGTCACCCTCTTGCGTCGTCGCCACAGCCGACTCACTGTGCAGAAGCACTTCAGTGCCCCCGATGGTGATGGCATTTTCCGACAAGCCATGGAGAAACTCGTCTTCCTGCTGCACAACATGCCCTTCCTGTGAGAGCTCCTCTTCCCTCGAAGTTGTTGTACTCTTGCTCTCAAAATCGACGGACGCACCCTCCGAAGCATGACATTCATGCTCGCTTCCGCCACTTTCACAATTGCATGAGGAGTGCCTATGCTGCCCAAGTGAGCTCATAGGAGCACTCTTTCACTTGGAGAGAGGAGAGGGGAACCCATGCCCGTTTAGAAGCTTGGTGGAGGCCATGGGCTAGGGAAAGGAACTCTAGAGACTAGTGAATAGGGAGGCTGGCCCTAGGGAGGTGATCCGCCATAGCCCCCTGGGTGAGAGGAAGAGAGAGAGGCTAGAGGGAGTCTCATTAACCCTCGTAGATGGAAGGACTCCATAGCTATGGTGATTGAAGTTTATGGTAACTTAGGAGAAGGTGGGAGAGGAAGGAGAGAGGCTTGAAGTATAAGAAGACCATAGCCAAGAAGGTGCTTTGTGCAAGGAGGAGGAAGCCTCATCAAGATTGAGACTCCATCTCCAAGACATTAACAAGGTAAATGGAAGGAAGAGGAAGTTTTTTTTCCTTCTTCTTCCTCTTCCTTTTCTTCTTCTTCCGCTCCTCCGTCTTCTTCTTCTCCCTTTTCTTCTTCTTCTTCTTCTTCTTCTTCTTCTTCTTCTTCTCCCGCTTTCTCCTTCTCTTTCTCCTTCTTCTTCTTCTTCTTCTTCTTCCGTTTAATTTTTTTTTTTTTTTTTTTTTTTTTTTTTTTTTTTCTTCTTCTTCTTCCTATTGAGATACTCAAGATCTTACATTTCACTCACACACCAGTAGGAGATGTTCCAATTCTTCTATGGGTGAGTTGATGTTCAATCTTTGTGTTTTGAGCTACTTCAACTCTTGCAATTTACTCACATGCTAGTAGGAGATGCTCCGATTCTCTTATGGTTGATCTCATGCTCTTTTCATATGGTTTGGACTAGTGTAGATCTTGTTTTTCACACACATGCTAGTAGGAGATGCTCCGATTATTTCATGAATGATCTTAGTGTAGATCTTGTTTTTCACTCACATGTTAGTAGGAGATGATCTGATTCTTCCATGGATGATCTCTTGCTCAAATCTTGTGATATAGCCTAGTGTAACTCTTACATTTCACTCACACATTAGTAGGAGATGTTCCGATTCTTCTATGGATAATCTCATGTTCAATCTTTGTGATTTGGGCTACTTGGACTCCTGCATTTCACTCACACACTAGTAGTAGATGTTCCGATTCTTTTATGGTTGATCCCATGCTCTTTACTTGTGGTTTGGACTAGTGTAGATCTTGTTTTTCACACACATGCTAGTAGGAGATGCTCCAATTTTTCTATGAATGATCTCGTACTCATTTTTTGTGATTGGACTAGTATGAATCCTGCATTTCACTCACACACTAATAGGAGATGGTCCGATTCTTCTATGAATGATCTCTTGCTCAAATCTTGTGATATAGGCTAGTGTAAATCTTGCATTTCACTCACATGCTAGTAGGAGATGTTCCGATTCTTTTATGGATGATCTCATGTTTAATCATTATGATTTGGACTACTTCAACTCTTGCATTTCACTCACACACTAGTATGATGATGTTGCGATTCTTCCATGGATGACCTCATGCTCGTTACTTGTGGCTTGGACTAGTGTAGATCTTGCTTTTACTCACATACTAATAGGAGTTACTCCGATTCTTCTATGGATGATCTTATGATCAATCCTTGTGATTTGGGCTACTTCAACTCTTGCATTTCACTCACACACTAGTATGATGATGTTCCGATTCTTCCATGGATGAACTCATGCTCGTTACTTGTGGTTTAGACTAGTGTAGACCTTGCTTTTACTCACACACTTATAGGAGATGCTCCGATTCTTCTATGAATGATCTCATGATCAATCCTTGTGATTTGGACTACTTCAACTCTTGCTTTTCGGTCCCATGCTAGTAATGGATTGGGTGGGGGTAGAGTTGGTGGAAGACACGGTGTACCTAGTAGTAGAGCTGGAATGGCGTGTGAGGGGGGAGTTCGGGGGCATAAATTTGGACCTCCTAGGGCACGTACGTCGACAGGATCCTTACACTTGTCGGAAGAAGGATGGCGGACCTTTGGGATTGCCTTGGTCTCCGGGGATGACCCCGTGCGAATGTTCGAAGGGGCATGACAGATAACCTGGCAGGAGAGGTTTGAGTTCGCAGATCCAGAACGGGATGACGTGACGGCTGAGGTAAGAGTCGCCGTGGCAGGGTTCTTTAGGTTACCGAATGAGGTCATACAAATGAGTCTATCACCCTTTTTACTAAGACAAGTGGGAGGCATAGAGCAAGTGGAGCAGGCGGTAGCTGCCAGAACTAGGCTAAATTTTGATGAAGCATTAGTGTATCGGGAATACTACCGGACCTTCCTAGAGATGGGACCTTTTAGAGACAAACAAGGACACGAGGTGTTATGCATACTACGCGCAGCAGTAAATACTAGGCCGGGGACCGCAAATAAGTGATGAGGCCATATGGGAAGTCATCAGGCGGGAGGTAGGTAGAGCGCAACCTACATAAATGACTTATACCGGCTGTACGAGCAGTCGGCGAAGGTTCCTGCTCCTGGGAATATGGAGGGATAGTTGGGTCCGGAGAAGAAGAATGAGAACATAAAGTGTAAGGGGACAGTAGGTGGGCGTTTGCTGAGAATCGACTGTAATCCTTTCTTTGTGGACTATGAAGGAAATCATCGGAACAGCGATGGTCACGATGCGTGTTTGGACGGTACGCCAGCCCCGGTACCCCGGACCTCCCTGGTATAACGACAGAGGGTGGGAAGTGTCCCAACCGTCAAGTCCCGACTTCCGGGGGTTCGATACGGAATGGAGGGCCGTGACTTTGGGGAGGGACCATGCCTTTATGTTGGTAGAATGTCGGTGGACGGGGATGAGATTCAACCGAGGACCTGGGGATGACCTATTTTCCAGTTTGGAAGTTACCGGGACCATGTATCTACCCGAGATCGGCTGGCACTCGTTGGGGGTGGGGATAGCACAAGATCACGAGCAGGCACCGCTCTTTCAGAGGGCCGCCAGGACACTGACTCGAATAGGTCAATCGATCAGGGCGAGGAGGAACGTGGATTTGCTCACCAGGGTGGAAATGAGGGGCTGGAGGGAGTTCGGGGCACCGACAACTCCGCTGAGGTGCCGGGTCCCCAGATTCATGGTAAACCTCGTCTTCGGAAGCCTCGCAAGGGCGCAAGATCTGACAGACTCGACAATTATCTGGGTAGACCACTTTCCCTACCCGACCATCGGGACGTTCTATGACGTTGCTGTGGAGCATGGGCTGTTCTGGGGAAACTGGGCCAATGAACTCTTGGAAGTAATTAATATCCTAATATTTGGGTTGCCACGGCTAAGCCTGGGCGGAATATGAACACATAATCCGGAGGAAAACCGATATAGGGGAGAGTTATCTAGCGGGGGTGACTCAACTATTTGAGGAGCCTATCGAACTGGAAGGGCCACGAGGACGAGAAAAGGACTAGCATCGGGGGGGGGCGAGCCAATAGGGCAAATCAAGTATACTCCGCTACGTACAAGGGTTCACCAATGGAAGTGAGGAAGGACCTTCGGGCCCGGACGGTCAAAAACCACTAGAGGATAAAAAGAGGGAGGGTAGACTCCTAATGGTTGTCGTGACCCTGGCGGTCGGAAGGGAGAAGACTGCTCGGGAACTAACTAGGACTCCTACGCGCCGACCCGACGAAACAGGGGCACTCTTAATGGGCCTGTGATGAAGGGGACTAAGTCGTGTCCCTTTGCTCGGTAGGGCGGCAGGGACGGTCGGCTCCTTCTTAGGAAGCAATCGGGAAATGAAAATGGGGAAAAGGGCTACTACCCGAATAAAAATAAGCCCACGAAGCCGGAACCTAGGGAACCTAAATGCCTCGCGCTGCGCTTGTCCTGGGGAATCCCTTGGTTTATGCAGAACTAGGCAAAATGACAACAGAGGATGAGACGGATAACCATGGGATCGAAGGAGGACCAAGCTTAGGAGGCAGTGCCGTGCACAACGAAGAGGGGCAGAAAGACAGAGAATCAGCAAATCCGGATGGTACCAAAGGGAACCAGAAGGAAATCTCCTCAGGGGAAAGCTCGGGGAAAGCCGGGGGAAGCAGGCAAGGGACTCAGGAGACCAAGGAGGGCAGAAATAAGGATAGAACAAGCCCCCGAAATTCAGAGAGGGTCGTGTCTAAGAAAGTGAGGGTCACGGATGCAAGGCGCAAACTAGCAGAGATAAAAAAAATGACCGCACAATACAAGGTAAGGTTGATTGAGGAAATGATGACTGGGAACGAAGAAGGTCCTCTGCAAGAGGAACCGCGGGACGAACGGAAAACCAGTCGAGGCGGAACTGGGCAAGGGGATAAGGGTAGGACCATGGGGGACGACCGAGCAAAATGAGGAAGGAGAGAAAGAACTCCCCGGGGATGGAAGCAGAGAAAGCCACGAACCCTCCAGCCATAGATAGCAGGGCTAGCCGTCTGCCGACCACGCCATCGGTAACACGAGCATGTGAAGGACTCTGGAGCGTTAGGGAGAGGGTGTTGGGATGGTTCGACCTGGAAGGAACTGCAAAGAGTAGGGAGGGACAGAAGGGCGGCAATGAAGGGTAGGATACCAATATGGCGGGCGAGGGCAGTAGCTCCGAAGGCGGCCTTAGGAAGATAGTATCATCCCTCGCGAAAGCACTGAACAAAAATCAGGGTTACCTAGCGGACGCTAAGAAAAAGTTGACGTTTGACGGGGCGAACATCATGGAATTCCTGATAGATTACGAGAATCTAGCCGCATTGCTGAAATGCACCGAAAAAGAAAAGATGGACTACCTGGGGCAGCATGTGTCTTTGAGCTTGGGGCGGGACATAATGACCATCGTAGCCGCGAGTCGATCGTGGAAGGAAACCCAGGATGTGATGATGAGGAAATACCTAGCAGCGGAGAAAATGGCTACGGAGGCCAATTTAGCGGCAGTTCAGAGGAAGAACTTCGCAACGTACAATGACTTCCTACGGGAGTTTACTCTGGTAGCACTAAGGATCCCCGGGGTTACGGACCGAATAATGAGCAAATACTTCCTCAGGCAATTTTCTGAGTTCGACAAAGACAAGATATGTCGGCCTACCAACAGACGAGCAAGTTTGTAAACACCAGGGATGTTGATTTTTGCACAGTAACGGATCTGGCCGAGAAGACAGCAGTGACCAAGACATTAGCCTTGCTAAAGGAAGGGGAGGTCATAGATTTGACTGGTAGGACAGACGACAAAGCAAAAAAGGGGATTGAAAGTTTACATGAACGGGTGCACGGAGTTGACAACAAGATTGAAAGGGTGGAGAACGCGCTACTGGTTATGCAAGTGCAAGTATCCCGACCCGCCCTCCCTCCCCAAGAAGCTGTAGTTCCGCCAAGAGTAGCCAATCGAGGATACGGACGGAAAGATCCCGCTAATGAGCAACGAAAGTACTGCACCACAGTGGGGCATTTTGTGCGCGCATGCCCAAAACTCAACCATGATATATTAAAAACGAGGTGTACTAAGTCATTAAAGGGAGAGATATTCGGGCCGCAGGAAGAACGGGTGAATTGGAACTCGCCAGGGGGGATACGACGAGTTATTATCATGCTTAACGGGCTAGAGATAACGGTCATAGAGGCTGAGCCGGTGGTCGATATCATCTGGGATCAACTTCAGGGCCGCGGACCACAGGTCAACTTCATTTTGGAAAACGACAGACGTGATAGGGTAAACGGGACTACTTGGCTAGGGACAGTTGGGAGAAGGATTATCCGTGACACCGTGATGAAAGAGGTTGTTGGAAGCTCCGTACCCCAGGCAGAGCCTGAGGCCGGGGAACCAGAGAAAGTCTTTGGGAAGCCTAGGAAAGAGGAGCCTACAAACAAAGTTACCGCTGCTAAAAAGAAGTTTAGATACCAAATCCCAATCTTAACTATGCCTGAGATCGATGACACTCTTAGCAAATTAATAGGAACCATAGTGTCAGTGTCGTTTCATACCATGATGCAGGCCAGCCCTAGGTTGCTCAAAGGACTTAGACAACTGATGACTCGACGGCGAGTAGAGATAGACGAAAACCCCAAATCACCGGAAGGGGAAGGAGAGGAGGAAGTTCCGCAAGAAGTTGCTAACCTTCAAAGGAGTCGCGGGGATTTGGAGGATCTCGAGAAAGCCTTTGCGGACATCCGCTTGAGCCTGCTAGACCGAGAAGGTGGCGAGGTAATGAGGGCACCTCCCGGGACAAAGCTCAACTTCCATGCGCTACCCGTAGGAAAGTTGAAAATCCAGATCGGGACTCATCATACCGACGCATTAGAAGACGGGGGAGCAGAAATCACCCTCATAAGGAGGGATTTCACAACGATCATGGGTTGTACGGTAATTAAGGAAGTAACAGGAAGCATTCGGGGAGCCGGTGCGGAAATTTCGTTCGCTGGGTATGTCACGAAATGCGCAGTAAAGGCAAGAATCACGGAAGAGGGCTTTTAAGCGGATGGAGGGCATGAGAGAAAGGGTAGAAATCATGATCGAAGAGGCATTCAATAAAAAGGAGTGGATCAAGATGAGCATGCCCCAAAAGAAGAGAAGGCAGGAGGACGAAGTCTTAGGTGTTATGGTAGCAGAAAGGGAATCAGAAGTCGAACTCGGAGCCAGCCTGCCCAAGCGGAAAGAAGTGTGCATGGACGTGGCCGAAGTTGCACTCGAGATCCCCGATTTGTTACAGCTCATCAAGACCCTAAGATACCACAAGGTAGGAGTGGACTCGGCGGCCTTGGCCAAATTCGAAGGGGAGGTGCAAAAATGATATTGTCATAATAGAAAAGTTAGTCAGTATTCAACCATAAATCGTACAAGTGGCGAGGGCAATCCCGACCGTTCATTTTTTAGGAGAAAAATCCCGGAAGGAAGTGTTCGGAAATACAAGCCGGTAGGAAAGAAAGCAAAACCGGTCTTGATCCTGCTAGAGACGTCAAAGAAAGAGGCTATGGAGAAGGAGGAGGAAGTCCTCCGGGTGATCCAAGAGAGGAGAGCGACGAAAGGGCATCGGATACCGGATGAGGTAGCTGATACAATGAAGATAGGGGTAGACAGATTCTTAACGGAAGAGGAAACCCGCCTGATAAAAAAGACCTGTCAAGAGTTTCACCTAACATTTGTCTTTAGTGATCACCAAAAAGGATGGCTGGATGCGAAGCTAGTTCCTCCGGTCAGAATCCACATGGTAGAGCATGAGTGTTGGAATGACAAGGGTCCGTCCTATGAATTTGGGATAGCGGGGGAAGTGACAGACCTCCTCCGAGCAAAGATGGACTCCTTCGTCGCAAAACCTACGGCGTCCCCATACGCGAATCGGTGGTTCGTCTTTCGGAAGCCCAACAAGACGCTAAGATGTATTCAGGATCTGCAGAAGTTGAATGCGGTAACCATCCGGGACGCTGGCTCGCTACCTCAGGCCGATTTATTGGCAGCGTCGCACGCTGGCCAGAGCATTTACTCCCTGATAGATCTGTACTCTGGGTACGACCAGCTTCCGTTGGATGTTCGGGACAGACCATACACCGCAATGCACACTCCCGTAGGCCAGTTGCATATGCAGGTGACCCCTATGGGCTTTACAAACGCGGTAGCCGAAGTGCAACGGAGAATGCTCGCCGTACCCGGGAACATGTTCCTAGAGAATTGTAAGCCGTACATCGACGACAACCCGATCAAAGGCACGCAAGAGAAGGACGAGACGAAAGTCCAGTCGGGGATCCGAAGATTTGTATGGGACCATCTTCATGACATCAAGGACTTACTCCGCCGGTTTCTAGTATACAACATCACGACTAGTACCGAAAGTAACGATACTAGGATTTCCCTGCGGTGCTTACGGTAGGAAGCCAGATCCGGCAAAGACCGACAAGATATCACAGTGGCCAACACCCCTGCGCACGACAACGGAGGTAAGAGCATTCCTAGGCGTGGTCGACTTTTGAAGGATCTTCATTAAAATTTTTGCCAAGATTGATGAGCCTATCCGAGCCATGATTAGAGAAGAAGGGACCATGGACTGGACGGAAGAGCGAGAAGGAGCCGTCCAAACACTCAAGGACAAATTGACGTCTGAGAAAGTCGCTTTGTCCGTACCCTGTTTTAATGACGAAGCGGGACGATCATTCTTCCTAGATACGGATGGAGGACTTTTGGCCGTAGGAGGCGTGCTGATTCAAATGGATGAGGAAGGAAAAGAGAGACCAATTAGGTTCGAAAGTAGAACCCTGAACTCCGCAAAACAGTGGTACTCACAGTTCAAGAAGGAGGCCCTAGCCATCTTGCATTGCCTCAAGACCTTCCAGGCCTACCTATTTGGGAGACGGTTCATCCTTAGGATAGATCCGACGAATTTTGCAGGGACCTTAAAGAATTACAGGCCTATAGATCCGACGGTAGGAGGATGGGTAGGATTTATCTGGCAGTTCGATTACAAAATCGAACGGATTGCGGGGATCAGAAACAAAGCCGATGGGTTGAGTCGGGTCTGCGTCACTCCCGAAGGGCTGGAGGATGCGGAGCCCATAGACGTATTCCTCGAAAACGAAGGAGGAACTATTGCGGTGGATAACGAAATGATGGGCGAAGAATGCGCGTCGGGAGAACTATTGATCCGGACTCTGGAGAAGGCGACACCTGTCGTAGTAGCAGAGCTTAGAGAAGAACCAGTCACCACCCGAGAGGGCAAAGAGGAGAAAGATTCGTGGGGAGCGATTGTAGGACCGAAGGAGGAACTAATAGCAATGGCGGTTGAGGGAGGCCGGGAAGCTGTGATGAGCATAGTGAAATCTTGGGAAAAGAAAGAGTTGCGATGGATGGTAAACCAGATGCAGGAGAGAAAGGATGAGGATCAGGAAGGGAAGGAGTTTTTCTATGCCCAGATATACGAAGGGATCTTTCGAAAGATTGGATTGTTGCTGGTAGGAAATAAGCAATCCATGAAAGTCAGCATTAAAGCAAGGGAGGAGGCCGAAAGGTACGTCCTAAGGGGCGGCCATCTGTTCCGAAGAGAGGAAGGCGCTATGCCTAGAAGAATTGTGTGCGGGAGATCTAGGTAGTTGGACGTGCTCTAGGCAATGCATGACGGATTAGCAGGAGGACATCGATCGTCCAAAGAAACTTTTGCAAAGATAGCGCCACTCTATTATTGGCCAGGCATGGCAGACATGATTGCCATATACTGCTAGACCTGCCTTATCTGCCAGGAACGAAGCTCGACACGTGTCTTTGAGCCGCTTAGACCAATGCGGGTGCTAGGACCGGGACATCTGGTCCACCTTGACCTTGCGGTCATGCCTGTATCCTTAGATGGGTACATGTATATCCTGGATGCGCGAGACAACTTAAGTGGGTTCGTAGAGACGTTCGCTCTCAAGAAAAAGACAGGGAGAAGTGTAACGGACTGGATAGAAGACTTCTACTTGAGGCATCCTTTCGTCAGGAGGTTTATAACGGACAATGTGACATAATTTGTGAACCAAGAAGTATTGGGAATGCTTAAGAGACTCTGCGTACCGATCAAGCTCATCGAGCCGTATCACCCGGAGACCAATGCACCTGTGGAAAGAGGGCACCGAACCTTAAACAACACGATTGCGAAGCTCGCAGCGGACCATCTAGGAAGTTGGTCTAGGTATCTAAAGCAGGCTATCTTCTCAGAGAACATGACACCTAAGAGGACAACGGGATGTATCCCAGCAAAACTTTGGTACGGAAGAGAGATCAATTTTACCGTGAAAGCCTTGATACCTACCAACAGGTTAGATGATGATAAGCGAATGACTACGAAAGAGTTAATCGAGGTGAGGTGTCAACAAGTCCTTAAGAACGAAGAGGTCATGGAAGACATCGCCAACCGGGTTCTATACAGCAGAATGAGGGACAAAGCAAGGTGGGACCAGGTTAAGAATGTCAGAAAGGAGCCACTTCAGGTGGGGGAGACAGTATTGCCAAGGAACTCGGCACTAGAAAGCACTTGGTCTGGACAGTTGGGGAGGAGGTTCAAAGGCCCCTACCGGGTCGCCAAGCGGGTAGGACTGAACACCTTCGAACTGGAAGATTTGGATGAAACTGGATTGAAATGACTCTTCTCGGGACAACGATTGAAAAGGTTTGTAAGTCGGGACCCAGTGGAACAATGGCTTCAAGAGACCGAGGATAAGAAAACTGAGGGGCTACAAGCTAAGGACTGACAACAATATTGCCCACACTATGGTTTTGTCTCTGACTGCGTCCGTGGGACTGCCATTTTTTCGGGGCTGGGGCAATGGTTTGGACTGACTGAAGTTGGAAGTAAGGATGACTTGGGAATTTGCAGTAACGGTGTTGGGCGACCGAAGGTCAGTCGGTCGCCCTAATACCGACAGATTGACCCTTAGAAAAGTTGTCTGAGAGAGAATCGGCTAGGACTTTTGTCCGACCGGTTGGGGGAAATTAGGGGTAATCAGACCTTCCCTAAATTTGGGTGTGTCAACCATCGAGATTAGCTGTCAAATTGGCGAGAGGGACTACCTCTTCCGCCGCCCTGATGTCTACCATATCGTCTACCTTATTTCCGCCGCCCCAAGCCTGTTTCCGAGATGGTTAGCTGCGAGAACGGAAAGGTGAGAGTACTCAGAGTAGGTCTAGGCGTGGCCCTTCTACAGTGCACAGTTAAGGCGGAAAGGGACCCTCGAATATCGGTATTTTTCTAGGTTGTTGGATCGGACGTCCGGGACCCCCCTGACCGTCCGGGATGTCCGACCGGACGTACCGATATTCGGGATGTCCGACCTAGCGCAAAAAAAAAAAAAAGTTCTCAGAAAACTCTGAAAAACATATATGTTATGTAACATAACAATACAAGCAACTTTTGCCTTGGAGTCATGTTCAAATTCGCAGTCAATCATGAGTTAAAGATCGAAAAGCGAAAAAAATATATATATATTTTTTACGTAAAAAAAAAACTTTTTTCCCCGGACAACGGGGGTACCGGACGTATGGGGGAGACGTCCGGGGGAGACGACCGGCCCCCGGACCATTGGTAACCTAGGTATTTTTAGTATTAAAATTAAAAACGAGGAAAAAAATTGAAACAGCAGAAGGGAAGAGAAAAACGGAATATTCATTAGTTTCTTTAAAATCTTCGATATTTAATTTTTTAATGGGATCGCCTTCAATTATTGATATTTTCAATAATAAAATTTAAAATAAAAAAAACGGTCAAAAGTAATAAAAAAAAAGAGAAAACGAAGAATTTTTGTTATTTAATTAAATTCCATCGGAATTTATTTCTGACGAAATCGCTTTATTTTTGTTATTTTTGATAATGCAATTAAGAAATAAAAAAAATAAATAAAAATGATAAGAAGGAAGAAAAATCATGATTATTAAATGATTGACAGATTTTCGCTCAATTTATTCATGATCGAAATTTTTTTCGATTTATTTACTTTCTCTATTTATAGCAATCTTCATTATTTTGCGATGATTGAGATCGCTCACATGGTCTATCCAATTTCCCCGATTCCTAGCCTCACCGTGACCCATGTGCTGTGAGTGTGTGTGTTGGCTGCCGTAATGTTGCGGTTGTGTTACTTCGATCGAGCCGCTCGTCGTCATTGTGTCGGTGTGACCGGTGCTCCGGTTCGATCATGAGGTTCTGAAGTATCACGACACGACTCCAAGGGTTCGGCATCGACAGGATACGGCAGCCTGCATCTGACTTTCAGACTCGGGGCAGGTTCGACGCCGGTATGGTACAGGTTATTCAGGTTCGGTATTGCCCCGACGTCTCCGCGCTTCAGGCGCGGTACCATTGAGGGGAAACGACATTGTACTGCATCAGTGCGCCATCGGTGTCGTACACACCGCTCCACGCCGACATATTTCAGGCTCAGCATTGGTTCAACTCCGGTGTGGCCCATGCCACTGCATTTTTGAGGTTCGGATTTGGTTCGGCACTGGTATGGTGCAGGTTATTTGATTCGGCATTGGTGTGGTAATGGTTTGATACTGCCGAGGGGTTGCGGCATTGCACGGTATTTTACATGTTACGGCCTCAAGACTGACTTGGCGTCCGTGTGGTACACTCCACTACATCATTTTCAGGTTCCGTATTGGTTCGGCAACGGTATGGTACATGTCACTGCATTGTTTTCAAGTTCGGTATTGGTTCGGTAGCGGTATGGTACACGCCACTGCATTATTTTCAGATATTGGTTCGGCAACGGTACTACACGTCACTGCATTGTTTTCAGGTTTAGTATTGGACCATCCTCGACACGGTGCGGATTATAGTAGCCCTCGATGTTTATTTCGAGTTCGTCATCGGTACGGTAATGGTACAGGTTGCACCAATTCATACTGCATTACTCTAGGTGCGACTCTGGTCTGTTAGCGGTGCAGGTTGCTGCGGTGTGCCACTCTGCTATTTTTGGTTGTGGCCTTAGGGCCGGTGGTATGAGTTCCCGGTGCTGCCGCAGGTATTGCTGGGTATTCATGGACAGCGTCGGTACCCTCGTTGTTGCAGACCTGTGGACCCGGGTTTCCAGTAACCCATGACTAGGGACTGCAGTCCGGTTATAGCCTGGGTGTTGGGCCTGGTACTACGGGTACAGAGAGTGCTAACCCTCAGCAATGAACAGGTACCACTGAGGACCAGGGATGAGCTCGTGGGAGCTGGGTCCGAGACAGGATATAGGACAGACCACGGGAAAGCCGAGGGGATATTGGCGGGACAGTATGCAGAGGCGCGCCAGGTGTACGCAGCCCCGTCCAAACAAGGATCGAGGAAGCACTGTTCAGACAGGGGGGGCATTCAGACTCAGGGGCTCTGACACAGCGTATGCGGCGTACACAGCCCACGCAACCAGAAGTTAGTGGGCCGAAGGGACGATTCGGAGAGGGGAAGGTTCATGAAAAGCGTGCAAGGTGTTCCCACCAAAATTCTGAGCTGCTTCGGCCTTGCTGTGCTGTACCCGATGGAGAGACACTGAGATGAGAAAAGAGAGCGGCGAACTAAGGAGGAATGCGAGTGGTCTGAAAAGAACGGGTGCACTAGGGAAGCGAGCCTGGTGTACCCCGCTGCCACTAGCGTGCTGATTGGAGTTTGAAAGGCTCGGGTTGTGAAGATGAACCAGGGGAGTTGTGATGATGGGTCTGGTGCGTATGTTCAGCGTGCAAAGTGGTGACGAAAATGGCCGAGGACTGGTCCGCGCTTAGGGGATGCTTATGGCTCGTGAAAAAAACAGTTGGCAAATCATTTGAACGACGAGCTAGCATTCGATACGCTAGGCTCACGCTGAAGAGACAAAAGGAGAATTTTCGGACGAGAGATGAGGCGAGTCCCTTCCGTGGAAGCCGAGCACAGAAAGGTTTGAAGAGCATAGTGCGAGAGAGAAGGATCAATCCAGGTTCAGTCAACCGAGCTGTCTCTGATTGCGGGAAGGTATACTCTCGCGGATCAGCCAATCGGGCTATTTGCTGCTCGCAAGAAGGTTTTCTCCCGCAGATCGGGCAATCGGGTTGTTGCTGCTGGCGAGTGCGATGACGAGTACAGCTCCCGCAGCGAGAGCGTGAGTGAGAACGAGGGAAATTTTGAATGAGAGAGAGAGAGAGAGGGAGATAACTCAACAAGACGGATTGCGGTGCGAATAGATGAGGAGAAAGCGGGAAGGGGAGATGGTTAATGCTCGAGCGTGTGAGATAGAAGTCAGGCGGTAGACTAGAGAAAAGACGGTGGTAAACCGGGCACGCGTGAAGAGAGAAAGAGGGAAGGAGTGAGATCAACTTGCAACCCCGAGCTGTTGCATGCATTGCTCGCTGGTCCAGCACTAATGAGGCGCGTTCATGGCAAGCGGTCTACCATCCTTTAGGCATAATCCATTGAGAGCATATTGGTTGTGCTGATCTGATCCCCGGGCTCTCTATAAAGTGTTCTCGCTAATTGACGAGGTAAGCCACTTTGGTTTTACTCATCAGCCGATTGGGCTCTATAGAAATGGTCGGAACCAGTAGCTTTCCCTTCGCTGTTCGCTGAACTGAGTATCTCAGCTGCCGCGGGAACTGGCCATATTCACATCTTCCAGATACTCCGTCAATTTTTTTTTTGCCTTCGAGCTGATCGTGCAACCCATCGCGAGTTGGGCCACTCTGAACTGGTAGTCTCAGTTAAACAAGTTACTAAGCAAGACCTCTGATGAACGTGATTACTTACTGGTGAGCGAACCATCAAAAATCAATCAGGTAGCTGCTGAACTCTGTTGATCAGCTAATCCAGCCCCTGGAGCTGAAAGTTAGAAACTTTGCATGTGCAGATCCGTGAATCCTAGAGCTGGGACAGTTCCCTACTCCGAGCAGGCGAGCGTTTCCACTAATCGCTGGAGGGGCCAGCCCTCATGAGTTTTTCGCTGCTGACGTGAATTTTCCTCCTTCGAACCTCTTGCGCCTTCTTGACGGAGTCAAAGTTAAGGGGGATTTACTCGGCCTCGATTGTGAACCGGACGCACGCCGCCTGAGTACCGCCACGCGCAGCTCTCCAGTTGAGAAGAGGGAGAGAGCCACTGTGTATGACCCCTCGTTTCTCTTGAGTTCCAAACAATTATCTGGCTGGCGGGGGTGTTGAATAGGGGTTGAGTGCAGACGGGAAGGAGAATCTGAAGGACCAGTCTGCAGTTGTAAGACGGGCTTAGCTCGGACTTTCTGTTGTTTTGTTGTAGACTGATAATGAATGTTTTGAAGTAGGTGTTAATTACTGTGAACTGAGTCGCAAATTGTTGTTTGAACATTTGATCCGAGTTCTGCAGAATGAGACGTGGTATGGTTGGGTATTATAAGTGTTAATTATTGTGAACTGAGTCGCAAATTGTTGTTTGAATATTTGATCCGAGTTCTGCAGAACGAGACTTGATATGGCTGTATATTATCGGTGTTAACTACTGTGAACCGAGTCACAAACTGTTGCTTGAACATTAGAACCGAACTCTGCGAAATGAATTGGTGTGACCCGAAGTTATCGTTACGGATTATTATCATTTGAGCATCAATTTATAGTTTAAAGACTTTGGCAGATTTCCGCGAAACGAACCTTGCTTTGTCTTCCCGGAAACGAAGACAATACTGTCGCACCCTGCCGGTCGCTGAGGATCTCGGCAGCGGGAGCGGCGAGTGACAGGCGTCTTTGCATTTGGCT